GTCTGTGTGTCTCTCTGTCAGTCTGTGTGTGTCTCTCTGTCAGTCTGTGTGTGTCTCTGTCAGTCTGTGTGTGTCTCTGTCTCTCTGACTGCGTCTCTCTCTGTCTTTGAAAGAAAAGAAAAAGACATTTCTCTCTGTAATGTGTTTTATATCAGTGCGTCAGATTCAGTTTTCAGTGTCAAACCAGAGGAGAATAAATCTGAACAAACCTTCTTCAGTTCCTCTTTGTCTCCTCCCACCAGGACGTCCTGACAACTGTCCATCATGTTCTCGCTCAGCTGTCGTCCCTCCTGGAAACCCGAGCTGATTGGCTCCATCAGCTCCTCCAGGATGGAGCCCAGGTACGGCTGGACCGACTCCGAGCACAGCTTCTCCGCTGCCTCCGACACTTTGGCTGCAGGAGGAAGTCAAACATTTCCTCGAATGAGACTCTGCCATCATGTGGCGCCCCCCCTTTCACCACCATCCCCCCAGAGGCAGTTTCATTCCCATGAATCACAGAGGAATGCAGCTCGTCCTGTGTCTGACAGCTCAGTCTGAACTTTACCTTGGACCTTTTCCTCCAGCTGACGTCTGGATCTGAGGATCTGGTCCATGTCGGAGTGGATCAGCACTTCCTGCTGCCGCACAGACCTCCGACATTCCTCCTTCAGCGCCGACAGTCCCTCCAGAAGATGCTCCTGGACAAGGATGTACGCCGCCTCCACCGTCTGCGTCCAGTCAGAAGACGATTCATGGATGAGTCAGTGAAAACATTTCAAGTCTGAATTATTCTATAAAGTTTCTGGTTTACACGTGACAAGTTATTCAGGAGGAGACGACGAAGAGGAGGAAGTCTCCACGGTTTGACTCACAGCGAACCAAACTCTCTTCTTCTCCATCTTCTTGGCTTTGAGACGAGGCAGCATGTCTTTCTCCAGAGACGGAAGCAGCTGCTCCATCACCACATTCGCCATCACCTAAAAAACACAATGCAATCATCCATCAGAGACGATTTTATCTGGGGTGTCTAAACCTGATGACAGTTTGAAGTCAGACAGTCAGACAGTCAGACAGTGAGACAGTGAGACAGTCAGACAGTGAGACAG